TAATCAAAACCCCCTTGATTCCCACCTTCGGAAAATTTCGTAGTGGATTGTATCTCTAACAAGCCTTTTAAGACTTGGAAGATCCATCTAAAATTAAAATTTGTAAACTTTAATTTAACTATTAAATTTTTAAATGGATCTTCCAAACCCGCTCAGAGTTTTGTTTCCGTGGAATGCCAGCTTTGCGCTGGACTCAACCACGAAGCTTTTGCCGAGAAAGAGCGACGAGGACAACAGCAGCTCGCCGAGAAAGTGCGGCGAGGACAGGCGAGCCGTTTTCGTGTTTGACGAGGCAAGGGGTCTGAATGAAACCTCAGCTCCGCTGGGCGCTCAGAGTTTTGTTTCCGTGGAATGCCTATTTTGTGCTCATGCTGGACAATCGCGAAGTTTTTGCCAAGAAAGAGTGACGAGGACAACAGCAGCAGGGCCTTGAAGACCGGGAGATGCTTATTGCCTCCGATCTACTTCTTGCTAACTTTGCAACTAGACATGCTCAAGCCGGGCCTGAGCGTTGCGGAGTATAGTTCTTCGTCAACCTGGATGAAGTATGGAAGGCCTGTGCGGGCCGCCAGAATAGGATAGGGTGAAATGGGAATCAGTAATGAGTTCGCCATTGAAGGCAAGGTGACAGAGAGCCAGGGATGGTATTGTTTGCTGCTGCAACAGGCCTGCAGGTGTGTCCTCGCTGCCCGATGGTAGCGTCACATATGAACGTCGTATTACTATGAAAAACAGGTTGTTTGTCGCTCTTCCAGCGACGCCCAGCTGCTAGCCTGCTCAAGTTCAAGAAGTGAAGCGGTATGCTTAGCTGGTACCTTCATCCGATCAAAGTGGTGGTCCCCTGTTCTGCAATTCTTTTGCCGTGCGGGAAGTCCCGGATACTGCAGCGAGATACTTTGCAGGAGGCCTTGCTATCGGGCATCAAGCGGAAAACGATATGCGTGGTGCCGATCTCATTCTTCCTGAGGGGATGACTTGCTGCGTTGTGTCCCTGAAGACGAGGGGCGGTGTCTCATCCGAGCTCACCAAGTGGAAAGTTCTTCCTGTGGTTACCGTGTATGTCAATGCAAGGAGCAAGCAGTTGCGGACACAAAGTCTTGGCTTTTGTGGGATCAGGAGGAGGATAAGAGTGATCTCCAGCTGACATGCTATGGCCTTGATGGCAACTTCGGTTACCTGTCAAGGGAGGTGAGGGGCCTGCTCAAGAACATACTCGTAACCAGGCCGGATCCCCTTAAAGGTGCGGGAAGCCGAGTGGATCAAGCAAATGCTGCCGTTTCAGTGCGAGGCAGACTTCGTCGTGTCTCCGGCGGCAGGCATGAGTCTATGCTCATGGATTACTCGGTTTCACGGAGAAGTTGATCTCGAGTTAGTACTTGCTCTATCTCGTACTCTTGGTTCAATTAACTGTGATCTGAGCTCGAAGTAATACTAGTTCGCTGCTTACGCTTTGCTCTCTGTGCTGTTACTTTGGCTTGATTTTGGATCTGCTCACGGAAGAGAAGCTACCAGGTATGCTTAGTAATGTTCGAGCTCGACCTTTATTATTTTGTAGATTACTTATGGTGTGATGTATCATAAATGGTAAGTCAGCTCTTTCTTTCTTGTAACTCGCGGATGAGATCCTAAACATAGTATACAACGAAAGGTTTATTGCAACTTCTAGAAAAAGATTCGGTATGAACCATATGAGACAGCCGTTCGTCTTAACAATGGTTGTCTCTTATGTTTCCGACATTTCCAAAGACAAGCCTAGGGTAGCTTGAAAATTTGGCTGAAGTGTGTGATTTTGGCAGTAGAATCCCGTTTCGATTGATTCCAATCGCCCCCGAGAGAATTCTCAGCTACCCTAGGCTTGTCTTTGGATCATAGCCTTTCATTTGTCCCATTTTGGTGTCTCTTTCGTTCACTTGCGTGCTAAGGGCTGATTCATAAGTAGCTAGAGTTCTTTCGATGGCTAGTCTTTAGTGGATTGGTCCTCACTTCTCCATTCTTTTTTTTTGTTGTTTCGCAAAGCTTGCTTGGGCTTGAGTTCATTGTCTACTTTTTTGTTTCATTGCTGCTAAAGACTTGGTCCGGCTAGAGTTCTCGTCCTTTAAAAGCTTTTTATCTCGAGTCTTCGGGAGTTCTTACCATACATTCTTTCCAGGGATGTTCCGGACGTCAAAAGAGCAATCTTGGCATGCCTTGTGTCAAGCGTGTACTCACTCCAGCACGACAGATCGAAAAACTACACAGGAACTCCGCAAGCTCTCGCTCCTCCCTGGTGGACGTCCTTCAACTACGAGCTCCTCGACGTGATCCTCGGCAATGACAAGCTCCGGATCAACGGCGCAGTGTTCGTGTGGAACTACAAAAACCACTGGAAGCCTGCCAGAGCTCCGATGGTGGTCCTGGCGCTCAGAGGCACGGACAGCCTAACCAGCGACTACATCGTCGACTTCAAGATCGCCAACCAGGAGCTTTACAAGACAGGCAGGTTCACAGCCGCGTACAACGCTCTCCGAAACGCCGTCGCATGGCATGGCAAGGACAACGTTTGCATCACGGGGCACTCGCTCGGAGCAGCGGTGGCGCTCTCCGCCGCTCGGATGATGGCATCGCATGGCCAGTTCGTCGAGGCTCATCTCTTCAATCCGCCATTCTCGTCCTCGACCGCTCCATACAAGTCACTCTTCGGTGCTGAGACTTACAGCAATCTCCAAGAGGTTTACACCGTTGCAAAGGCCGGGCTCGTCAACTTACTGGTGGATGCCGCAAAGAGAAGGGAGTCCGAGGCAGAGTTTGCGGCACTTGGAAGCTGGTACCCGGACATGTATGTTCATCCCAGTGATCCGGTATGCTCGGGCTTTCTCGAGCACTTCAAGAACTATCAGTATATGCTACAGGGGAAGTACGCGAGATTGGCGATGCCTCACGAATCCATCCGGGGCGTGCTCTGCTCCTCCAAAGCGAAGCCGCATCACCTCATCCCCTCGGCAAGGCTTCACGTCCCAGCGGATGAAGGCAAAGCTGCGAGTGCTCGAGACGCTCATTCTCTTACACAGTGGTGGTCGGATGGAGCAGTCGTTCAGGTGCAATTTGTCAACTTGACAGGTCAAGAACACTTGGATCATCCGCTGCAAATCCCGTTTGGGGGGATAAGCTACGAAGCTATGGTGTAGTACGCGGCTATGACTTCATGGTACATATTTTCTCTGTGCTCAAAGAACCCACCCGAGAAAAAAGTTTTTATTTTTCCTGTGCTAAACCAAGGTTTGAAGAGAACGCGGCGTGTTTTCGACGTTCAATCTGACTGGAAGAACGTCACAGGTGGATGTTTACCACGTCATGACTTTACAATGAACACTTTCATTGTCTGCTCGAGCCAAAGCCTTCAAAGTACGTTTGCTCGCGTTTGTTTTTGTTAGATGGTTAAAGAGAGAAAAAGGCCGGATAATGAGAGTTGGCGGTTTCAACTAGAGAAGCACAAGCCCAGTGAGGACAGATAGTGGGAATAACTTCAGAAAGAAGAAGCTGAGCTTCCCGAAAATGAGATTTTTTCGTCACTCTTTAGGTTATGAGAAGGGTTTACTCGTGGTAATCTTGTCAGTTCCTTTTGGGGCTCATCCTTTTGCAGTACTATAAGGTACTCTTCTAGGGATTGCCCTTGTGATGAAGAAACAAGCGCCTGTGTTGCTGCAAGACGACACTTTGGAGACGGTTCTCAGCTATGTGGACCTGGCCACACTAGCGACCTCATGCTCCGCCGTTTGCAAGTCATGGAACGCCATCATCGGCGATCCATCCTTTCGCCGCCGCTGGTGCCAAAACAGTGGCCACAAGGAATCCTTGCGGCTTATGACTAGCTCCTTCGACTACGGCGAGCGTTGCCACGCCTGGGATCCATCACGGCCCCAACGCAGCGTGGAGTTTCCGTTGCCCCACAAAACGGAAGAACTTCCTAACGCTCAAGTGGTTGCTTCCGCGGGTGGCCTGGTATGCGTCTTCAGGACGCACAGGGGCATGGTTGATCCTGCTGATGATGTGTTTCACCTGGTGGTGGGGAATCCAGTGACCCAAGAGTGGAGCGAACTACCACCGCTCCATTGGGAGGACAGAGAAAGATGCACTTTAGCGGGAGTGATCGACTTTGCCATGTTCGTCGACAAGAATGGCTTCAAAGTCGGTCTGCACTACACCGCTGTCGACTTCTCAGGCCACTGGTGCTGCATCTACGACTCGGCAACGCGCTCCTGGTCTTCTCTCCCCAAGCTCCCGTTCTCGCCAGCCTACGTCAAAATGAAGGCGCAGCGGCTTTCAGATTACAGCGTGGACGTGGCACCCCCTGCTGTATTCCCAGGCTTGGACGATTACTTCTACGATCTCACCATCCTGGGATTTTACGACTTTGGCCGCGCCAGGTGGAGCACCGGGGAAGTCGTGCGCAGCCTGAGGATTACAACAGGCCTGGAAGACAAGGTTGACCCGGATGGAGAGATCCTGCGCTGCGTCTTGCCGCTCCCGGGACTGTGCACCGCGAGGCTGTGGGAGTACAATGGCCAGCGATACTTGGCAAGTGGCTGGGTGTATGCGGGAGGCTACCGCGAGGCAGGGGAGTCCGGAGTTGATGGCTATGGCGTGTGGAAGGTTGACGACAAGGGTGGCTTGGTTGCCGTCTCTGCAAAGACCCATAAATCGATCCTTCGTCAAGTGTACGCTGGGCAGCGCTCTATAGGAGCGGTTTTCCGTTGTTCTGTTCATGCAGAGGCCAATCTGGTGATCTTTTCAGAGATAGGGCTCATGTTTGTTTACGACTTGAGCACAGGGGATTGGGGCGGAGTAGGGGGGCACGTAGATGAATATTCACAAGCAGTGATTTTTCGCCCGTCCCTCAGGGCACCTAGATGATCCAGAAAGGAGGATGAACGCCACACAAACAGGTATTGTTAATCCTGAGCTAGTCTGTAAGTTAACGAGACTTCCTGGGCTGGCAGGAACACACACACCTGTTTGGAGCATTGGCGAAGTCTGTCTATTATTCAAGAATTATACACATTATGTACATATAAGATTTTGAGATTCTATGTACATAGAAGATTTTGCCTCCCAGAGGATTGCTACTCAACAGTACGGTAGACATATTCATGATGGGGATGAAAGTCTACTCTTCAAATCAATCAATGCCTCGTGATCCGCTGGTACGCTGCACCATTCCTGGGCCATATTCGTAGGTCGGATTCGAGACCTCCGCGCCGAAGATCTCACGCTGCTGCGGCCGTGGTCTCCTTGTTCCACTTTAGAATTTGTGACCTTAGCAGGCAAAGCTCATGAACATGCTCTCCATCCGCGATCGCAGTCTTTGCGCTCCCTCGCCGCGGCCTTTGGAAGCCGCCGATAAGACTGCGCCACTTTCTGGCGGCTCCTGGTAGAAAAAGAAAAAGAAAAAAAACAAAACAAAACCAAAGAACCTTTTTGCTTTCCCGTCAAGGCGAATTTCTGGAATTCGTCTTCGCTGCTCAAGACGATTGTCGCTCAATCCGGCAGCTCTTTAAACATCTACGACCACAAAACAAACGCGTGACCACCGTAGCAAAACATTTCACATACTTACTTTCATAAATCGTGATCATTCGAGCATATCACGACAACAAAAACTATGAGGCGACATCCAAAGTGAAAACCATTTCTTCAGAACATCGAAAACAAGAACTTACATGAATAACTTTGCGCCATTGTTTCAACCTCTTTCTCCTCCAACCAAGAACACGAAGGAAAAAAAAAAACCTCTCCCCCAGATAGACGCAGAGAAAGAAAGCCCAAGCGCAGGCAGCAAGAAAGAAGAGAGACTTACCCGTGTAGCGTTTTGGAGCATTCCCTGGGATCCAATGGAGGCGGCCGAGCAAATGGGTCGGCGCTAAACCTTGCGAGGCGCGGCGGCGAGCACAGCCCAGTTCCCCAATCGCTGGAATCGGCGAGAGCGGCGGCCCCATAAGCCTCCAAATCTTTGCTTGCCACCTTTTGCTAGACGAAACGAGCGAGGGGACTAGCGCACCACCCTCGACGCCATGGATGGTGGTGGTGGTGGACGCTTAAACTCGCGCACACGCACACGGGGGCACACCACTTAATAGAAAGAAAGAGAAAGAAAGAAGAAACCCAACCCAACTCTCTCCTCTCTCTTTGAGTTGATGGCCTAACTCTCTAAGTAAGAGTGCGATGCACGACTTTCAACTCTAACACGGGCAAACAATGGGAGAGAGAGAGCCCAAAAGGTAAGAAAAAAAAAGAGATTGAGAAGAAAAAACGGCAAAAAGAAGAACAATGAGGGTTAAAATGTATAAACCGACTTGGGTGGTGGAAATTATTTCCCCCCAGCGGTCCAATCCATGGTGGCTTAAGGTGAGATTAAAGGCTAATCACAATTAGCCGCGGGCCAACGACTGCTATGTGCCACCGCCACCCTTCGGGAAAACAAATAGGATTTGTGTTAACCGAGGTGGAGTTTATTACCATTAGCGGGTGATTAGCGCCGCAGGCGTCAGATTGCTTTGCAGCAACGGTGAGGATTGGAGGGCGCCAGCGCTTTACAGGTCTACGTGTACGCTGCATGGACCAGGAAGCAAAAAGCAAAAAATAATGCCTGCCTCTCTTTTATATGTTTCAAGCCTTGTTGTGTTTTTTCAGGGGCCACCACCTTTGGGTTTGTAATGAGGGAAAATTTTGACAAGGATGTGGAGTTTGTGGGTCGGCCTGCTGCCGCTGCCTCGTCTAGCAATAAAGTGGAGAAAGGGGGTGCAATCGCCACCGTTACTTTTAGCGCTTACCTGTCCCATTATGCTGGATTTTGATTTTGGTCAATGATTAGGTACTTTAAGATATTTAACCATATTTATGTACTAAATTGTTTCTGAAGACACTAATCATCAAGTAGACTTTAAAACTAAATTCTACCGCCAAAACAAACATGCCAAAAATTAAATATGAAGAATTACACAAATGGTTTTCCAAATTAATTTCATCTCATCACATATATGTGATAACTTAAGCAGAATTTGATACAAACTAAGAACTCTGCAAGTATGAGAGTAATTTGTTTTTGAAATAAATTAAAAACAGTAACTTAAATTAATATAACAACTTAGAGAAAATTAAAATTCTTTTGCTGTATAATATATTAAATATCTGTTTTCCAAAACACACGTAATTATAATCCATCACACATTATAGTGGCACTAAATTTTAATATAGAATAAATAAAATAAATAAATAAAATTTCATAAAGACTAGTATACTAGTTCAACTTTTTGTTATTATATTATTAAATTTAGCTTCTATTTATCTTTTTCTATGAACCCTTTAATTTAAAATTTATATTTTAAAATTATTAATGTAAAAAGATATGGGAATATTAAAAAAATAAGGAATTAAAATAACTAATGTCAAAGAAAAAAAGAAGAAATAAATGTTATAATATAAAACTATTATAAAAATTATTTTTAACTTGTGACAATGATAAAGGCTGTCAAGTATAATAGTTAATACTTTATTTGATGTATCTCACAAATTTGTTTGATTTGATTTAAAACTATTTTATATAAATAATTATTTTACTATAAAATTATTTTTTGGAAAAGTATAATGTGTTAACCATCTATCCAAAATTTTAGAATGATTTTTTATTTTATCTATGTTAATTAATCTAATTATTTTTTATTTCTTAACTATTGGTTTATAAGTAAACAAAATCAGCTATAAATATAACATTAAAAATAAAAAATTTTATTCTCAAATTGATAGCATAAGAAGACGTGTTTTTGAAAAAAACCATGTAAAAGTTTTGGTGGCCAATAGGTAGTTAGCATAGTTAGTTAAAGAGGGAAAACAATGGCATAACAACTCTTATAAATCTAAGACTTTATTAACATATTTATATATGGTAAAAATATGCTCTAATATACTCCTTTAATTAAAGCATTTATACACAACAAGAATCCTTTTTAGTGCGAGCTAGTCTAATTTACAATTGGGTTTAACTACTATACTTACAATTATGGGATTAGGGCAAATATAAATAACATGTATACTAATATGGAGTGCATTAATAAGCTTATGCTTTTTGCCATAGGCACTAACAACAAATGTGTTACTTGGGAGAAAAACAAATGCAAAGTAATGAAAGTGTATGTGAGTAAAGTAAGGCACTATTGAAGCACTAGACTTAGGATTAGGTTGCAAAATTAATAGTAATGCATTTTATGTGTTATGTAGGTTGTAATTGACGAAGAGAGAAAACAAGTGTTGCACTATTGAAAAATTCAATACAAAGAAATCCAAATAATGGATTTAATGAAACAAGAGTCAAGAAGAGTCACCATAATTATGGTGAAGCAAAGTGTAATTTATTTAAGCTAATGTTGCACTTAGACAAGCCTATATCATTTGAGAAGCAATTGAGCTTTAAAGCCATCTCCCAGAGGTTGAAATGGTAA